CAGCACCTTCCCAGGGAAGGAAGGATTGCTGAGTGTCCATGCTAAATCTGCTTTATCCAAGGGAAGCCATTCCCTGTGTCCTGTCCCTCCATCCCTTGGCCCCAATCCAAAGTTTTGCTCTAATTCCCACCCGTGTGATCCTGTTCAGCCACCGAGGCACCTGGACTGTGACACAGAACCAGCCTTGCCCAGTGGTTTGTTTTTTTTTTTATTTTTTTAATAAACTGTCACGTCACATTTGTGGAAGCACTTGGAGTCAGGCTGGGCAGCCCTTCACAGCAAGAATGTCAGGAATGTGGAATACAAAACCCTGGGGAGCTGTTAGAKGAGAAAATGAAATGTAATATGGTGTTGTAGGTTGGAGCTGAAGAGCCACAAATGATAGGTTTTGTCCAGAGATGTAAAACTTTCATCCAAATCAGCTGAGGCRGTGTTTGTGTCCGTCTGAGGCTGCAGCTCTCTCAGAGCCAGACCTTAGGGGAGCTGTGAGTTCTGATGATCTTTAACCACTGTGAATCTCCAGAAATGCTGCTTTTGAGCAGCCTGGGAAATGTCCTGCGTTAGCCCCTCACAAATCAAACAGAMGGTAAAACCAGGGAAATGGAATTTCCTGCACCACGTGTTAATCCAGGGGGAGCATCATCACACTTTCCATGTTTTCTAAATCTCTCTCTGTTTTTTAAATCATGAGGAGCAGGAGGAGCACACCTGGGAGGTTCTTTGGGATATCGAGCACAAGGTTCTGTTCCATGGGTAGCCAGGGATTGCTCTTTGCTGCCCTTCTATCCCTTTTTCCACCTGGACAAAGGCTGCAGGGGAGAGGAAGCTCAGCATCCAAAGCTGCCTCAGTGGCCCAAGGGCTCTCAGTGCAGCAGRTTCTGGATATGAGTGACCCTTCCTGCTGCCACTGCAGGGGCTGAACCAGCTTCTCGTGTCCTGCTGCTTTAGGGACGAGCTCCTGGAGCAAAGTTACTGCAGTGRCAGCCTGCAGGGAGAGAAAATGCCCAGCAGCTCGTGTGGCATCCCCCCTGCGCTGTTCCATCACTGCAGCACCAACAATCAGGGCTCTGTCACTCCCCCACCGAGCCAGGCTGAGATTTTTGGAGTTTGTCCCCTGTCCTCACCTCCCCCTCAGCAGCAGGGGAGTGCTGCTAACACTTCACAACTCACAAATGAAACATTGCTGAGTGGCTCCAAACACATTTTCCTGGTGCTTTTTGTTCCCAAACACCTTCAGTGGCTGCAGATGGRACAGAGCAGAGCCCTGGGGGCTGTGGCTTCCCAGAGGAGCTGGGAGAAATGGGGCTGTGATGGGGATTTTGGGGTTATCTCATCCCCAGAGAGCAGCACGTGGAAGGAAAGCCATCAGAAGGGTGGGGATGAATCCCTTATTGCTCCCACGAGGAGATTCAGCAGAGAAAGAAGGAGCAGAGGGACAAAATGTCCTGAGGTCCCGTTTGGAGCCAGCACACACCAAACCAGCCCTGGAATGTGGGGCATTCTCTGCCCAGCCAGGGCTGGAGCTGCTTTAGGTCCAATTTTTAGGACATTTTAGGTCCAAATATAGAGAATAAAAGTGTGTGCAGCTCTCACCTGCTCTGGAGAGGCGAGCAGAGCTGGGAACATTGAGCAGGAAAACACACAGGTTGTAGAGAAAAGTTGGAAACTTCAAGGGTTTTAATTCCTTAACATAGTGGGAAAGGGGAGAAAAGGGGGGAAAAGGGAAAGGAAAGGTCAAATTATGCATGTACATATTTATTTTCTAACACTAATAGGATCCTGTGGCTGACAGTGAGCTATGATTAGCTCCTCAAAGGCATTTTTTTCTATTTACCCATGATGAAATGGCATTTGAATACAGAGAAGAACAAATAATGAGATTCCTGTCTTACCCCTTTCCTGTGCCTTAATTATAAACAAGGAGATGCAATTCATAACATTAAATAAGATTTCYCCCCATTTCCTTCCAAAAAATGGTTTGGAGCAAGATAAGGCACTTAAATTTAATCCTTCCAAGAAGGTACAAATGCTGAGTGCTTAACGCAGACACAATCTTACCGTGAATTTACATGGGAGCTTTAATGGTTTTGTAAATTAATCAATAACGTGGCTAAATTATATTTGCTCAGCTAATTATTTTCCTTGTCCTGTAAATGAGAACTTCAGCAGTCTCTGAGGGAAATCAGCCCCTCTGTTTGTTTGTTCTGCTCGGGCTGGGAGCTTTTCCTTTGCTGTTGGAGCTGCAGATCCACAAAATTATAATTTCATTATTCTGTATGGAACGGGTCAAATCCATTCCAGCAGGGAAATGCTGTGCATTTATGGGRTCTCCTCAAAATCCTCCCTGTGGGAGCAGGATTTAACCACCCTCTTCCCCCAGGAAAATGTTTGGGCTGCTTTGAGGATGGAAATGGATCCTCTTTGTGTTCTCAGCTTTGATTTTGAAGGGTTCAAGCCTGGGTTGGAGGAGATGACGTTCAGAGGCTCCTTCTGACTGGAATTATTGTGTGATTCCAGGGATCTGGACATGAAAGGAATTGTCCCCAGTCAGTTTTGCTGATAAAGTCCCATAACCAGACCCCAGCAGTGCCAGGACAAACAGCAAACCAACCCAAAGGACAGAAGCACGATGGATCCCCTGCCTTTCCCATTTCCCCCATGTTTTCATGAGGCTGTTTCCAGAGGCTGGAAAAGTCATGGATATAAAAACCAAGCAGAATATGGAAARATCTGTAAAATATCTSTAAAATATCTGTAAAATGCTTCTTCCTTTGCTTTCCCTCCTAACCAGGGTTTTACACAGAAACACACTTGGGGAGCATCAAATATTCCCTGCAAATGGGACTTTTATCCTCCTCAGTCTCTGATATGCCAACGAGCTGGCACATTTAGCACTTTTGCCTTTGCTTTTGGGTTTTGAAGAGATATAAATGGCAAGAGAAAAAAAAAAAAAAA